CACGTGGGCGACGCACTGCAGGCAGGTTCCATCTCAGCCCCGGGGGAGGCGGGAGAGTCCGCCTGAGCACCTGCACGGGATGTTTTACATTGTACGACAGCATTTCTATCCTGCAAGAACTTGTTGTCCTCGAATCCTTTCCTTAGAGCTGACATTTTTTATTTGGTAAGGCCCTTTGCCTGACTTAAAATTCCGAGTCTCTGAACTTGAATTTCTGGTAAAATTCCCTTCTGTTTCCTGTATTTCATCTGGGTCCCCCCGCCCCGAAGTGAAATCGTTCTGTGTGTTCCTTGCGAGCTTCTCTTTGGCCTTCCTCATGCGTCTGGCGAACCTTTGTTCGTTTACATTGATGGATAAAGGACGCACTTGATCCACCGAGGTCATTAGCACGGATCTGATCTAGAGCTGTGATGTCCGCGGCACCCCTGGGCTCCTGCTCGAAGTGGGGGGGTGGGGGGTGGAGCGTGTCCATTCTATACACGCCATATCGCCAACAGGCAGGACCGGGACGCTCCCTGTTGACAAAATAAAGGTGATATTTCTGACATTGGAAGACTCGTGTGTTCTCCTTATAGGTAGATGCGTCCTATGGTTCCCTTCTCTGCGGCTCTGCAAATGTCTTAAACTGATGGCGCCGAGTTCACTGTGTTCGGAGTGCAGTTTGGGGAGATTAAAGGGGTCAAATGCCACAGGGGCCCGCCGGCCTACAGGAGCAGGGGTGGGGGAGGTTCGAGCTGAGCCAGGTGGAAGGTCTGCTGTTCAAAGTAGCTCTGGGATCTCACAGTTGACCAAGGACCCTCTACAGTGCTGCATGTCACTTGCTCTGTTCTGAGAGTCTCTCTGACAGTGCTCAGGTTTCTACTGCAGACGTTTCACGTTCTCTGAAGTAACCAATCCAGTAGCCTCCGCTTATCTGTCTTTCAAGAATTCCTCACACTTTCCGGTCCCCTAATGGCACCCTTTCTGTGTGTGTGTGTGTGTGTGTGTGTGTGTGTGTGCACGCACGCAGATAATTTTTGTGTTTAGTTTACCAACGTGATTCAATTATACTTCTTTATTTTAAAATAAAAACACCTGTTTTCTGAATAGTCAATACTCTTACAGTTTTCAAAAACCTCAGAGATCTCTCTGCAGGCAGCGATCGGGTATTATTTGTTATCATCAGGAGGAGAAAAAGGATGAAAAAAAAGAAATCCTACTCATGTTAAGCAAAATCATAGAGTCAGAGGGAAGCAACTTTAGAAACACATTCCTTAGTGAATTTTTTGTTCAAGTGCACATCGAACATTTACCGAGATAGACCATGTTCTATGCTACAACACAAGGTTCAATAAATACAACATTATTTATATCACGAAAGAGATGAGAAGAAGACATCATTGTGGATCATACACTTAATCAAAAGATAATGAGGGGATATAATTGAAATTTTGTATTATAAGAAATATATATTTTGGTTTTCATCCCCAGCTCCTGGCCACAGGTCCTAAAACCCTGGTAATTTTCTAAGTGATGAGAGTGATGGAAACACATTTTGTTTTAATACTTGTTTTTTTGTCACCAGTTCCTAAAAGAACTCTGGAGCGATGAAGGTGAAAGGGCCATCTTTTGCTATTTACAGTAAACTCCTTTCAGCCATTCCTGAGTTTATGATAATGCGGCAACTTTTAAGAAGCCCCTGAGGATGGAGGTCTGGTTGCCAGGGAAACCAACCACGTGATTAGAGGGTTGGAGCTTGTGGTCCTTCCTCCTGACCTCTGGAGAGGTGAGGTGAGGGGCTGGAGGTTGACTTAATCACTAACGGCCAATGATTTCATTAATCATGCCTATTGTAATGAGGCCTCCACTAAAACCTAATCGTAGAGGTTCAGAAAGTATCTGGGGTGTGAATACATGGAAGTACTACGAGGGTGATGCAACTGGAGCAGGCATGGAAGCTGCACGGCCCTTCTCCCTCCACCTTGCACTATGCGTGTCTTCCCTCTGGCTGATCCTAAGTTGTATCCTGTTATAATAAACTGGTAATCCACTAAGTAAACTGTTCTGCTGAGTTCTGTGAGCCATTCTAGAAAATTATCAAACCGCTTGAGGAGGAGGTCACGGGAACTTTCCATGTACAGCCTGTTGGTCAGAAGCACAGGTGAGAACCTAGACTTGTAATTAGTGCCTGAAGTGGAGGATCGGAGGCAATCTTATGAGACTGAGTACTTACCCTGTGGGATCTCTACTAAGTCCAGGTAGTTAGTGTCATCATTGCAGTTTAGGATGCTCAGGTGGTATCTGAAAAGTTGGAGAATTGGTTGAGATGGTAAAAAAAAAAATACGCATTTGTTTTCAGAAATAGTCTTTTTAATAATAAACAAGTTTATGCCAATAAATTCAACAATTTAGTTAAAAGTAAGCTAGAGGTCAATCTAATGTATGAACGTACATACAAAAAAATCTAAATCAAATTGTTACTGGAAAAAGTCTACATGACCACGTTATATACCTTTCTCCACCAAACTTCACTCAAGAAGAAAGATGTGCCATAAAAAATCTTGTAAAATGAGGTTGGGACTCTTCCCTTCTCTTGAACTTTTTGGAATAGTTTCAGAAGGCGAGGTATTAGTTCTTTGAATGTTTGGGAAAAGTCACCTATGAAGCCATGCAGTCCAGGACATTTGTTGGTAGGTGTTTGTTTGTTTTAGTTATTGTTATTATTATTACTGCTTCAATTTTGTTAGTTATAAGCCATCTGTTCAGTTTTTCAGTGCCTTCTCGATTCAGTTTTGAAAGATTGTATCTTTCTGGGAAGTCATTTATTTCTTCCATATTGTCCAATTTGTTGGCATATAGTTGTTCATAATATTTTCTTAGGCTTGCTGCATACCTTTCATACGGATATTGTATCAGGCCCTTCCTACTAGTGGGTAGACTATAAATGCACATTTTGGGTATATAACGTCTACTGTGCATGAATGTGTTCACATAGACGGACTGACACTGCTATCCTTAGAACGGCCTCCTTGTGAGGTTTGACCTTGGGCCTGGTATCTGGGAACTCCAGTTTGGAGAGTGTTCCCACTTTCCCTAATTGATTAAAGTGTCTCATTGTGCCTAGACAGGGTAAACAATATAGTTTGTGCTGAAGACATGTTTTCTTTCTGTGTGTATGAAATCCTGGTACTTGCTACGACAAGAGTGCCTACAAGCCCAGCCCCCAATACAAACTTGGAGCACGGAGTGTATAAATGGCTTTGCAGCCTCGGAATTATCCACGTGATAATTCTACTTGGACATCTAATAGGCATCTCAGATGTTATATAATATGGCATTCCCACCCTTCCACCCCAGATATGTCCCTGCCCAAAAGTCCCCAAATTAATAAGTAGTACTACCATCAACCCAGTTATTCAATTCTAAACAGTAGAAGCTAGCTTATTTTCCTCATTTCTCATTCTTCACCTCTGGTCCATAAGCAAATCATGTCAACCCATTCAATCCATCTGGAATTTATCTTCATCTCTTCATTTTCTCAGTCACCACCACAGTTCAAGCCACCATTGTCTCTCACCTGAACCAGCTACACCATCTCTCTTTTTTGTTTTTAGTCCTCCCCCGAGGACATTTTTGCATTTATGTTCAGACAGAGTGGAAAGGAAAGGGTGTGTGTGTGTTGGGGGCTGGGGGGGCAATCAACGTGAGAGAGACACAGCGAATGGTTGTCAGCCGCACAACCTCGACCGAGGCCGGGGCCAAACCGCAACCGAAGTACGTGCCCTGAGCGGGAACCCAACGCAGGACTCTCTGGTCCATGTGCCGACGCTCTAACGGCTTAGCCCCAGTAGGGCTACACCATCTCTTAACTGATTCCCCAGCTTCAGCTCTTCTCCACCCTCTACAGCCTTCAAAGCAGTGGGTCACTGACAACATTCAGAGGCATTTTTCTAGTTAACATTCAATATCAGAAATTTGGCCCTCAGCCTTGACCTTGTGTTTTTCAGTCCTTCTACTGAGGTAATTTGGGGTTTGGGGTACCATGTTACTTTAATGGAAGAAAGAGTACAATTGAAGCAAAAACTATATTTGGATGTTTTGTAAGGGCAGTATGCATGTCCAGCATGGTGGCCGTGGGAAGTCACTCCCACGTTATGGGAGAGCCCGCCGAAGGTCGGCTATCATGATCACTGTCGCTCAGGGTGAGTTTGTCAAAGAGGTACTGTGCCAGGATGGCTTTTGGGGTCTCCAGCTTGATACCCGGATGATGTCAATAAACATTAACATTTGTATATTTTGGTAAATTAAAAAGTTTTAGGTGAAATGTAAGAATCCTTTATTTCAATCCCATTCTGTTCAGTCTCCAGAGGCAAGCACACCTGTGATTTTAAGGCCATGTTTTATACTTTTAGCATGAACGTACATCCACATTCACCAGGGCCGCAGACCATCCACCTCACCCCACCCTGTATGCCACGTTGTTTATAAGGGGCAGATTAAATGTGTGCTTTCCAGGGTCCCACGGAACCCCTCCTTCCTCCACCTTGCGTCTCACCTCACAGAATACCTCCTCCCTCCGCCCAGGGTCGTACAGAATACCTCCACCCTCCAGCCAGGGTCCCACAAAACACCTCCTTCCTCCACCCATGGTCCCAAGAAACACCTCCTCCCTCTACCCAGAGTCCCAAGAAATACTTCCTCCCTCCACCCAGTGTCCCAAGAAATACCTCCTCCCTCCATCCGTGGAGATCCCGAGCTGCATGTGATTGGGGTGTGGGTGGGTGGAGAGACTCTTGAATACCTGTTTTAAAACTTAAAAGGTAAGGATTTGGAAAATTGAACTAAAAAAAAAAAACAAAAACCTTTACTTGTTTAAGAACCAATAAATTTATTTAAAGAAATGCTACAACTTGAACGTAAAAACGGAAGTGAACGTTTTTCAAGGGTAATATGGCAACAGACATGCTTGGCACGGTGCCCAGAGGAAGTCAGCCCGTGGCTCTCGGGAAGGCAGTCCTGGCTCAGTGTTTCGTGCTGGCGCCCAGGGTGAGCTTGTCGAAGAGGTACTCGGCCAGGCCAGATTGTGGGGCTCCCATACTGCGCAGGTTGTTGATATGGTCCCCCAACTCTTTGATGTAGTTCACCTGTTCATGCAGGTAGTCCCTCTCTAGGAAGTGGCGCAGGTGGCCGTCCTTCTTCTCAGTGGCCAGCTGGTGCAGACTGAGGAGGCTCTGGTTCACTCTCTTCGCCAGGAGCATGGTGAACTCCATGGCCCTCAGGCTGCTCTCCCAGTCGTCCTGCTGAGGCCTGTGGATTCCCTCCAGGAGGGTGCGGCCCCCGCGCAGGTTCTGCAGCCACATCAGGCGGTCCGCCTGCTCCCTCTCCTTGCTTGCCCGCTCTCGGAAGAACTGGGCACAGTGATTCAAGGCCACCTCGTGCCGTTGGAAGTAGATGGCCATGGATGTGGACACGTAGGAGGCGTACAGCTTCAGGTTGATCAGGTAGTTGACTGAGGCCTCGCAGTCAGGGTGGTAGTTCTGGCGCACGTAGGACGGCGGAGGGGCCTGCATGTCTGAAGCTGCAGGCTCTGTGGACACCAAGGCCCAGGTGGCGGGAAGCCCGAGCTGCGGGGCGGGCAGTGGTCGGGTGGAAGGTGCAGGCTGCAGGGGTGTTGTGGTGTCCCCGGGGCAGGCCGCGACGGGGCCGGAGACTGGCCGCGAGGGCGGTAGGCTGCAGGCGGCTGGCGGTTGGCTCTGAGGTGGCACCGGAAGAAGTGACTGTTATTTAAGCGTGTTGGGGGCGTGGCGAGGGAGGGTCCGTGACGTGAGGGGGGACGTGAGGGGGGACGTGAGGGGGGCTCCCCCCCCCGGGCGGCCACGGCTTTGGCGTTTCCCAGGTTCCATCCCAGTCTGGGTGAGGAGGGCGTCTCCGGGCTGGGCATCGGCGTATATAATATTTGAAGATGTTTTTCATGAATATAAGTGCAACTGTTGTGTTAATCACCTACATGCTTTCTTTGAGCAGTTTGCTTGAACGTTGCCCTGTGTGATTGTTTCTTTAAACACAGTCCTTTCCTGGTGTGGTTGGTTACGTGTAATATCACAAAGCAGTGTTTGAATTGGAATGACTTCCACATGATACCGAGGACACTTGTGACAGCCTCACTCAGTTGCTGGGCCTCATTACTCCACTGATGTCCCCTCTTCTCCTCTTGTTCACCGTCCAGTTCCTGCCGCTCCGATGGCCGAGCCCGGCCTCCAGGCTCTGACTCTCCACCTCTCCATCTTTCACTCTTTCAACTTGCTCTTCACTCCCTTGATCCTCGCCCATCACTCCTCTTAAATCTTTAGTGTCGCAAGTACTATAGGTGTTCCTCCCTTTTACCCCCATTGACACCCCCCCACCCCCGCACTGCTGTCTGTCCGTCCCTCCCACCTGGTCATCTTCCAGCGCAGCCCTACAAACACGTCCTCCTGTCCTGTCCACACCCCAGTGCGCACGGTTTCAGGGATCGCATCACTGATGCTGGCTTGTTCACCTGTTTCTCCTGGCGTGACAACTTCTTTGCCCTTGAGTAAGTACATACTTCCGTTTCCTCTGGCAAGAAACGAAGGGTTTAGGGGCACTCCTAGGGAAAGCACTGAACCATGGGGACCTATCTTCCCTCCAGCCTCATTTGTACCTTCATCGCCACCCAGTAAGCCTTTGCATGGACGTTTTCACTCAGGTCCTGAGGAATGAGCCACAGCGGTTGGGAATACCACTGATGTCAAATGGCCTTTCATTCATTCATTCAACAAGTATTTATTGATTATCTAGAATGGTCCAGGCACTGGTCTAGGATTTGAGCATATATTAGTAACAAAGAGAGGCTAAGTCTGTTCCCATGGGATTTGTGTTTAGTGGAGAAGCAGATCAAAACAAAAACAAACATAAACCTGCTATCTTTCTCCCCTTATTGTCCCAAGTAAACACACACAAGATATTACTCGTGCATTTGGAAATTTTAAAGAGAAAATATATACTTAGAATTCAAGGATATTATAGTGGAAGACATAAGACCAACCTAGGAATTTATAATTAATTTATTTATGTGTTAATTCAACAAGTATTTATATACTCCAAATGTGTGTTGGACACTGTGATTCTGGAGATACACAGAAGAATCAAACATGGTCTCTGTTCTCAAGGTTCAAGATAGTGTGACAGAATATTATAAATGCTCTCAGATGATTTAAAGTTATGAAAAAATGTCTATTTTTTACTTTAAAATTTTTTCCCATTGATTTGATTCATGTACTTTTTTGAGGTGTCTATTCCTCTTTGCAAGCTTATGCTATTTTAAAAACGTATTTATTTATTTATTTATTTTTATTGATCACCTAAAGATATGTTTATATTGACTTAGAGAAATGAAAGGAGAGAGAAAGGGTCGGGGGAAACACTGATGTGAGAGAGAAGCATCAATTGTTTGCCTCTCATACACACCAAACTGGGTATCAAACCCGAAACCTGGCTATATGCCCTGACTGGGAATCAAACCCCCAGTCTTTTGGTGTACAGGACACCACTCTAACCAACTCAGCCACATGGGCCAGGGTGGAAGCTTATGCTATTTTATAATTGATGTTTATGAAGAAAATAAAGGATCAAATATTAAATGTTACAATGTAGACTTATCTAATCAGTTTTAGGGACATTTTATTATTAATTCTGTAAAAATTGAATAATAACAATGTCTGTTTAATAAGTTGATTGAAATGATAGAATCATACATTAGACATGGAAAAGAACGATATGATCAGTTTCTCAATGAGGTCAAATTTCAATTTACATTTTCTTACACCAGTGTTTAGTCTTAATATAATTGTAGACTTTCAAAATTCCCTTGGAAGATTTTATTGTGGACGGCACTGTGATAATCTATTTGAATAGAGTAAATCTTGATTTTGTTTATATGTTTCTCATTATGTTCCAAAATTATTTAATAATTTGTCCCTATAATTTTACTCTACCTAATGTTTAAAAATGAACTTTTCTAAGTGAAATGAATAAATGAGCATAGGCTGGGACCTCAAAATTCCATGTAGGAAATATACCTGTGTATAAACAAAAGCATTCCATCCAGTTTTTTCTTTAATGAGGGATATAAAACTAAACATGAACACATAATGAGGAAACTTAAGAGCAGATCATGTTTTTTAAAAAAAATTTTTTATTGATTTTAGAGAGAGAGGAAGAGAGAGGGACATAGAAACATCAGTAAAGAGTGATGGATCTGTTGCCTCCTGCATCCTGCATGCCCTGCACTGGGGATTTGGCCCATGACCTGGGCATGTGTCCTGACTGGGAATTGAATCAGTGACCTCTTGGTGAAAGAGTCAGTGCTCAACCACTGAGCCACACCAGCTGGGTTTTTTTTTTTTTTTTCTTTAATATGAGTATAGGACAATAAGATAAAGGTTTCTTTGAAATGTTTGTGATCAGTTTTTATACTGTATTAGTATTAGTCAGAGAAACAGAACCAATAGAAGATTATCTATCTGTCTGTCTACCTGTCTGTAAAATAAGGAATTGGCTCATGTGATTAAGAGGGCTGACAATGCCCTGGCCGGTTTGGCTCAGCAATTGGAGCGTCGGCCTGTGGACTGGAGAGTCCCAGGTTTGGTTCCCACTAGGGCCACGTACCAAAAAAAAAAAGAAAGAAAGAAAAAGAAAAAGAAGGCTGACAAGTGCTCAAATCTACAGTCAGCAATTTTGAGATCTAGGAGGGCTGATGGTGTAGGTCCAGTATAAAATCCAATAGTCTTAAGACTCAAGAAGTTCAATTTGAAGACAGGGGAAAAAAACAGTGTCCTCACTGGAAGGCAGATAGGAAGGAGGAGTTCCCTTTTAATGAGAGGAGGGTCAGCAGTTTTGTTCTACTCAGGCCTTCAGCAGATCAGATGAGTCTCACCCATAGTAGGGAGGACAATTTACTCAGTGTACTATTTCAAATATTAATCGCATGGAAAACACCCTCACAGGCACAAACAGAATAATATTTGACTAGATATTTGGATACTCCCTGGCCCAGTCAAGTTGACATATAAAATTATCCATACAGTATTATAATAAATACAGAGTCAACAAATAAAACTTCTAGTGCCATAATCTGTGAGAACTCTGTTTTGACTTTCAGTTCCCTTCATCATTTAAAAATGTTACAGAGGCCCGGCTGGTGTGGCTCAGTGGTTGAGTGTCGACCCATGCACCCAGAGGTTGCTGGTTCGGTTCCTGGTCAGGGCAAATGCCCAGGTTGTGGACCCAATCCCCAGTCGGGGGCATGCAGGAGACGGCCAGTCGATGTTCTCTCTCATTGATGTTTCTATCTCTCTCTCCCTCTCCCTTCCTCTCTCTCTAAAAATCAATAAAGAAAAAAAACTTAAAAAATGTTATAGACTTAATAGTTATGCAACAGATATTAAACAGTAAGTTTTTACTCAGTGTCAATGATTAGCTTTTATTCATTCCTTCATTCTAGTTCCATTGAGCACCTATTATATGCCAGGTATTTTTATAGGCCCAAACATAAAATCCTGTCCTATAAACTCCTCATATTTGTTTTTTTGCAGCTAAGTGCTATTCAATATTCTATGTAATCCTTTCTTTAAAAATTAATACATGAGTAGGCTTAATGATACATTCATAAGGAAGCAGATCATAAGTAGCAGCAGTTGGTGACTTACCTCACTTTGTGTATGCATATGTAGAAAAATTATTTAATAAAGCAGTAGTAGAAAGTGATAGCAATCCAAAATCAATATGATCTATCTATTCTTTAGAAAAAATCTTTATTGTTGAGTGTATTACAGGTATCCCTTTTTTCCCCCATTGCCCTCTTCCACCTGGTACCAGCTCTGTCCCAGGCCTTCACCACCCTATCGTCTGTGTCCATGGATACTACATATATGTATATAAGTTCTTTGGTTAATTTCTTCTTTTCCCCTCCCCCCTGAGATTCATCAGTCTTTCCCATGTTTCCATGCCTCTGGTTCTATTTTATTCATTGGATTCCATATATAAGTGAGGTCATGTGATACTTGTCATTAATCTGACTGGCTTATTTTACTTAGCATAACACTCTCCATGTCCCACTATGCAGTCTCAAAGGGTAAGAGATCCTCCTTTTTTTTTTTTTTTTATAGCTGTATAGTGGTCCACTGTGTATATGTACCACGCTTTTTTATCCACTCATCTACTGATGGGCACTTGGGCTGTTTTCAGATATTTTTTTCAGCACTTTTTTGTTGATTTGTTAATGGTAGTCATTCTGGCAGGTGTGATTTGGTACCTCATAGATGTTTTAATTGGCATCTCTTTGATTATTAGCGACACAGCATTTTTCATATGTCTCTTGGCCATTTGTATGTCCTGTTTGGAGAAGTGTCTATTCAGGGCCTCTCCCCTTTCTTTTTTTTTTTGTAAAGAGTGCTGCTATGAACATAGGGGTACATATATTTTTTCTGATTGGTGTTTTGGGATTCTTAGGATATATTCCTACAAGTAGAATCACTGGGTCAAATGGCAGTTCAATTTTTAATTTTTTGAGGAAATTTCATACTGTTTTCCATAGTGGCTGCACCAGTCTGCATTCCCACCAGCAGTGTACCAGGGTTCTTTTTTCTCCACACCCTCGCTGGCACTTTTTTGTTGATTTGTTAATGGTAGTCATTCTGGCAGGTGTGATTTGGTACCTCATAGATGTTTTAATTGGCATCTCTCTGATTATTAGTGACACAGCATTTCTTCATATGTCTCTTGACCATTTGTATGTCCTGTTTGGAGAGGTGTCTATTCAGGGCCTCCCCCCCCCCTTTTTTTTTAATTCTCACCTGAGAATATTTTTCTATTTATCTTCAGATAGAGTGGGAGGGAGGGAGAGAGGGAAAGAGAGAGAAACATTGATGTGAGAGAGACACATTGACTGTCTGCCTCCCGCATGAGCCTGACCAGGGCTGAGGACTGAACTGCAATTGAGGTATGTGCCCTTGACCAGAATCAAACGCGAGACTCATTGATCTGCAGGCCAACGCTCTAACTGCTGAGCCAAACCGGCCAGGGCCTCTGCTCATTTGGATTCTCTGTCTTCCTTTTGTTGAGTTGTATGAGTACTTTATATATTTTGGAAATTAATCCCTTATCAGATGTATCATTGGCAAATATGTTCTCCCAGAGAGTGGGTTCCCTCTTTTTCTGTGCAGAAGCTTTTTAGTTTGGTATAGTCCCATTTGTTTATTTTTTCCTTTGTTTCTCTTGCTGTAGGTGATGGATTGGTAAAAATTCTGCTACGTGAGATGTCTGAGATTTTGCTGCCTACATTTTCTTTTATGATTTTTATTGTTTCAGGC